GTGTGTGTGTGTGTGTGTGTGTGTGTGTGTGTGTGCTGCTGTTTGCAGGATTTCGCCTGCCACAGCAAGGGGAACCACCCTACACCACACCATGACAACCCACCAACAGTGAGATGTTTGAGGCTTTGCAAACCATATTGTTGGCTCGTTAGAATTTACCACTTTGGAGACAGAGAAGTCAAAGCCCTCTGTCTTCTCTTTTTCCTTCACTCAGAATAACTGATGCAATGAAAGCAAACAAAAAGAAATATGACATTTCCATATGAAACGGTTGCATTTTGCCACGACCACGAGATAAAACCCAGTGTTTACTCGAGTTAGCCAGTTTTTGAAATGTTTTAACCTTGGAGGTTTCTTTCTAAAATACTAATTCCAGGGATTACTTTACAGAGAGACGAAAGAGAGACTCGCACAGCAACACCTGGACTGACCATTCGCTCTGCATGAGACTAGCTACAGTCAATGACTAAAATGTTCAGTGTTAACTTTCAGTTATCTGACAACAAACAATGATAAACACTCAACCTTAGCATTCAGTAGCGGTGCTTGACTGTAATGATAGAGCTATCATTATGATAATACTGCGCTATATCATAATTATCTGCTAATTGACTGCCTGACGAGGTAGCGCTCATTTGAATAGTCATTAATGCTCCATCATCACCATTGATAGCTGTAATCAGTGACTGGTGGTTTCAAGGTCTTACTGGAGGGTGTGTGAGAGCATGTGTGGATATGGACTACACTCATATATGTGTGATTAGGTTTGTGTGTTGCCTTTCAACACATTAAGGATACAATTATTCTATAAAATAGCTCATCTTAGGACATATAGTTCACTTAGCCAAGTGTCTGCAGGAGTAACATCCAAGAACCATTTCACCTCACTTCTTCCAGCCAGTGCCAACTTTAAGTGCCAAAGCACTTTAGCTTCCAGGTCCCCCTGGTTGACCTGGGGGTATAGCGGCAGTTTGTCAGACTTGCGGCCAAATCATCCCAAAAATGTATCCACAAGTTGTAAACTTCACTGTTTTAATGTATTGCAAAATAAAGATGATAAGAAAATGAATTGCAGTAGTCTAAAATCCATTCATCTGCTATTTATATTGAGGCTGAGGATGAGGCTGACGACAGTAACAGTAACTGCCGTCACCCACCTTCCCCTTTACGCATTCTGCTCGCCAAATATTATCACCCGTCCTCACCACCTGAGGAGGGTACATGCTCACAAACACAAATAACAATTAATGATATTTAAATAAATTTAAATAAATAAAAAGTGGCTCCCACAAATAGAACAAAGTTACACATCACATGTGTCATAGGGAGAAGAAGTTTTGTGCGTATCATCTGTGAAAATTGATCATTTTAGAAGTAACTTGAGTAACTTTAGTAAGTTTTACACTGTTATAGTTTTTGCTCCATTCTTTTCTCACTCATGATCATTATGCCAACAGGAGAACAATCAGTTTATCCTTGAAAGACTTCAAGCAGGCACCCTGAGGCACACCTATACTATATGTCGACATTGGTTCCTGACGGTGGCAACAGGCCCCTCATTATACATTATACCCTTCTATAAAACACCAACTTTCTTCATTAATTTCCTCCTTTGCTCAAAGTGGACCATTGTCATGTTGTGTTACCTTTACGCTTTCCCCTTAGCCCAAACCACAGCATGTTGCAGTTACAGTGGAGAGACCTTCGCTGTCTGTCATCCTGCAGTCGTGTGTATTGTAACAGTGTTGTGGTGTGTGTTGCAGGTATGCCTCTCAGTTTGGACTGCAAGGCCTTTTTCGGCTACAGTGGAGAGAACAGGAGGCCCATCATCTACTGGATGAAAGGGGAGAAGTTTGTGGAAGAGCTAGCGGGACACATTAAAGAAAGTGAAGTCAGGTAAACACTCCATGCAGCATCTACTCATGACTCACGTGTGTGGGCCGCTAACCATTCAGGAGAATGATCCAATGTCGCTTGTACATAATATTAATATCGTAAAGTTGCTTTTCCCCCACTCCAATGAAACACCGAGAGAGAGAATCAATTACACACACTCAAGTTTACAGGTCTCTGTTGTTAATTAATTTCTGCGAAGACTGGACTCCAGCTGCACTCCTCACACTGTCAGCATCTAATTTACCCTCTTATGATTTATGACTCATTGAGAGCTCTCTGACAGATTCCATCTCAACTTCCCCAAAGAATTATGAATACTAATAATAAAGTTAAAATGAATTAATTCTCTCTCCTACTGAGACCAATTACATTGCTCTCTATTGGGGAAACCCTGATTGTCTGTGGGACATCAAATATCATTAGAATAACCTGCTGGATCACCTTGGAAACCTTCAGAACATACATGTAGGGCATGGACCTGATCAGACATTACTACCTTTTTTATGTTGCATAGAAACTTCTACATAAACTGTCCTTATAACCAAGACATAATTTAAATATATAGGCTACAGGCAGAGGGCTCTTGCTCTTGTTGAGAGTAGAATGTGTGTGAATCTCAGTGGAGATCCACCAGCTGGTCCAGGAGCTTTGCCTCGATGATCAAGGATTGGGGAAACGTTTGTTACTTTGTTCAAACAAGTCTGTCAGCTCTCTGATCCGTCGTCTCTGGAGACGTTGAAATTTAGTGAGCTTAACATTGGCTCAACACAAGGCACAAGTTGTATGGTACCAGTTAGCTATTACAACAGTTTAAATGGGAAAAAAAACTAACTAAAAATCTCAGGTACTAATTTACCTCTAGATCTGCTGGTTTCTGGTCATGATAATCGAACAATTGACCAATCATGTTTGAGCCCGCAGGTAAACAGTCTGTGTGAAGAGCAAAAAAGGTGGATCACATTGACTAAAAGTGTAGAGATGGCTGCTGCCAATATGTTGTTTGCTGAAACACGTATCAAAATTCAACTTGTGTGATAAAAGAAACTAGTCGGACATTGTGCTGTGAACGGAAGAAGAACCCATCATCAAACGATAGCTGATAGGCTCCAGATTCTTATCATGGTAGCTGCAGTTTGTTGTCATATAGCCCTGCAGGCATAGGCCTGAACAATTTTTGTTCCAGCCAGTGGGTGCTTCAAACTGTTGAATGTCTTGATAAACCCTGTGCAAAAAACATATTTTCATAAATCCTCACCCAGAGGCCCAAGGAACTATAAACTATTTAAATTGGATTTGTTTTTATTCACCATTGTCTTAAGTTCTTTATGTAGATTGGACCATCAGGACACTGATTTGTGGTAAGGGTTTGGAGCTAGAGACTCACTCAGGTGAATCACAGACGTGTAGTCCTGCAGTCGTTCCAATCTGGCACAAACTGTGACATCTGATATCAAATCAATGTAAATTTAACCCCAACTGTGTGTTGGGCACACATTGGCGCATGGCATTCTCTGTGGGTGCAGAATTAGTGCCTAGGGGTCCAGGTATCCAGTCGCAGCCACCACTATTTCTTCTTAATGAATGTTGTGCTTTGAGCAAAGACACACCTTACAGTTCATTGACTAGAACAATGTGACAATGTGGATGACACTGGGCTTTTTTTAGCTTAATTTTAGGTGTTCAAAACAATGCAAGAATAATATTAGGTACCAGGCTCCTAAAAGTAGTTAGCCTCACAAAAACAACAGCCTATGGAAAACCACAGATGTCTCTCATTGAGTGTTTCAGAAAATGTATCAATAACATTTACATGTTATTCCCTTAATGTAGATTGTTAATATGTTCAGTTTTATCAGCCTAATGCCAGAATGTGCACAGACCTCTGTATAAGCACAGCACATGTGTCAGAGTGGGCTCAGATGTTTCTGCAGTTTTCAGAGATAACCTTAACAAAGCTTTTATCCAGATTAATATTTTTTTAATGACAGGGCATCAACTTTATCAAGGAGGATCCACTTTCCTGGTTCCCAGACAAGGATTTAGTACAATAACAATCTAGAAAAAGAAAAACATGCAGTTTTATTGTTGTCATTGCTGTGATAACTTTTCCTCTGCAGGGCTTTGCAAGTGCTCTAGGGGGCAATGACTGAGTGAGGTATACCCGATTAAAGACCATAAATCTTAGCTGAAAACTCCTCTTGTTAATACGGGTGTGCTGCCGGCACCGAATGAATATGTAATCTATGCAGCGACACTCTGGTTGCAAAATGGATGAACGGTTCATCATCTGCTGTACATTGTAGGATTACACATGAAATGAAAGGTTATTACAGGCTGGGTTATATTTTCTTAGCTCTCTCTATCAGGTGTTTTGGTTGTGATAAAACTGTTTTCACTAAAGTAGCTGATGGGATTTTACAATGTGATGACGACAATAAAAATTGGTCCAAAGGGGAAACAAAGATGAGTTGATAGACAAACAAGCCGTAAACAAGTCTATAGTTTGGCCAGATTTGTTACCATGAGTTTAAACTATATGTGACTGCACCAATAATGTGTGTGTGCACAACCACAGCAAGTACAGTTTAAAATTAAACCAGGGAATCAGTTTGAAAGCATTAACAGAAGTTTAAAAATCACCTTCACATTCAAAGTTTAACCAATAATCACTATAATGAACTATTAACAAATTGCTCCTTTCAGTGTTTATAGAGTTTGCACTTCCTTTTCTCGTTTTCATGTTACTGTTCAACATGCTCACGTTTGAGCAACACCACTCCACATTCACTTCTGATACACTTACTTACTTTATCCTCTTCATCTCTTGAGGCGCATGAGGCCTCGACGATCTGCCTCCATCTGGGCTACGTGGTGGACGACTCCCCATGTCAGGCCCACCTCGGCTCAGCCATCACGGTTTGCTGCCATCTTGTTTTGAGCCGACAGGTTGTGTCTGTCTTAGGATGATCTTTGTTATCTGGTTCTGGTCCATTTTGAGTACATGCCCAAGCCATCGACATCTGATCTCTAGCACCACACTGTCTGTGAGTCTTCTTGTAAAGAATACAACATACTGTCAAAAGATATACTATAAATTAGAAAAGATACAACACAGAATTTCTTTTTATAGTTTCAATCATAAGCAGAAACTCTCTCATCTCGATCTGAAAGTGGTCAGAGCCTTTAAGGATAGAGAACATTTTAAATTGTCCTCTGCCCCAGAGCTGTTACATGTCATCAACTCCGCCCACCAATAATAATGTGTACGTTTATTCCGTCCTAGAAGAAAGCCTTTTGCATCGCTATTCACCAACTCCCTCCAAACAGAGGTCAGAGGTCAGCGTCAGCTCCCCAACAGCAGCCCTGCAGCTGGCAGAGGTGACTTTAACAGCAGCGCTGCTCATGTACCAGGGCGTAAACCAAGGTTCCCAGCTTTAGAGATGCTCCCTGTCACTGCTAAGTTATTTATTGGCCTCTGAAAATGTTCGCTCCCACGTGCGTAGTGTTGTAGATAAAGAGAACAGAACTGTGCATGAGTGTTAGCGTTTAAACTTGAAACTAATCATGCCCTGTGTATTAAATTAACCTTTGCCTGATGAGTTTAAATCTTTCAGTGCAATCCTCCAGCCGATTTAGACACACTCCTGCTGTGATGCACATTAATCTGTTCATGTTTAGCTCCCTCTGCCCAGTCTGATACTGCCCTGTCCTGGTCACTGTGTGAGGCTGTGTCTGTTCGCACATTGCCGCCCTGTGTCCTCCTCGATAATGTGGATACCTGCGATAACCACGGCTTGTTCCCCTGCAGTATGTGGGAGAGCTGTTGACACTTTTCTCTCATTATTAATTCACCCGAGAAGAAGAGCAGCCACCTGTGAAGTTGGTGTTACAGAAAGAAAACCTTTGTCAGTGTTCGGCTGATGAAAATACACCTTATCGTGGATTTAATGCTTTTAGTCAAAATATGCTCAAACGCACCTCGAACACGATAACTATGAGCAGCATCATCGGTTTTACTGCAGTTGTTGGCACAGCTTCACTGTTGAACTACTTCACAATTGTGCGACTCAGCGATGATAGTTCTTGCTTCGTTCATGTGCGATGAATTTGTAATTAGAATATTTCCACTTGGGCCGGTGCTTGCTTCACATTTTTACTTGAAGGCACCATTGTATGTCCAGTGAAGTGGAGAAGCATCTTTACCTGCTTGAAATTCACATCAGCTGTACAATACAACTGCTGTTAGAAATCAGAGACTGACCTGAACTGTCCACCTACAAAACCTGATTTACAACACACCTCTTCAAAACAGTTGTTAATGTGTGATTAATAGTGTGTATTTTATATTTCTAGTTATTTGCTTTCTCTGTAAAGTGTCTTTGAGCATTGATAAAATACTTAATTTTAAAATGTGCTCAAAGATATCAACTACATGAATAAGAAATGAGAAAAAAGAAGTTGCTGGAAAAATACAATAAGTAGATGGGGGAAATGGAATAAATAAAGTAAAAATGAGATCGCGCAATAAGATTACACACAAAATCAATGGAATAACGCAATTTTGTGTCCAATGCTTGAGTTAGAAAATTTGAAAGCCAATTATCCATGAAAACGAAACCCACTGGACTCAGGTCCTGGCCCTGACCTGAGCTTGAGGGGGATCTAGCCCACCACTGGTCAGCCTCAGCCCCCCTCTGGAAGCGACAGTCATCCAGACACAGCTGCTGGAGGAGCCACTGAAAGTCCCAGAGCTGTGTGCTCTTTCAGATGGGCTGGTGGTCCCACCAGACGGCCCTGGCTTCTGGTGTGTCCACAACACGTACACCACAGCAGTTGGAGAGTTGTCCTCTCCTATGCTGACTCCTTTTGGTGTTTCCACAACATGTACAATGCAGTAATTGGACTTTTTAACTTTGCTTTTGCTTTCACATAAAAAACTAAAACTGAAAGAGCATCATGTGCCTCCCTAAAAGAAGGTGAGAGGAGAATGAAAGGAGGTGAGAGAGAGGATGTATTTTAACTGAGGTTTTTAACAAGTCACTGCTTTTGACAGTGACCTCTAATGGTCTGCCCTGGTACACATCAGAGTGACGCACACACTCAAAATCACGGATACACACACACACACACACACACACCGGTGTGAACCGAGGTGCTGGTATATTTCGTCAGGAACACTTGAAATGTTTTGTTCTATAATTCGCTCTGCGATTCAGAGTCAGTGAGCATTTATATTGAGGTGGTTTGGAGTTCTGTTCCCACAGGGTCCACATATTCTAAAAAACATGTTGATATTCTATGAATATTAGCACTTAGATACAAGCTCTGAGTGACACATGTTGTTCTCTTTCATTGTGAAACACCAACAGAACTACATGATGAAAGGACATGTTGCCTTTCTCGCAGTTCGAAATGGTTGGTCTGTGTCAACTCGACACTCGACTTCTGTAAACTGGGATATTCTGCAAAGAAGAAGAATAAAAAATATCTGTGGCCTGCCTGGTGTGTTTTGACAGTGGTCTGTATGGGAAATGCTGTTTCTTTTTTCCCCTTTAAAATCTTGCAGCCTTCGGTTTGGCTGATCACTGGAGAGCCAAACCACACCATGACAAAACAAATCTCAGCCAGACTCCGCTCAGCTAATGGGAACCAGGCATATGTTGGTCTTTCTTTGTTTTATTTCCTTCTCTTCTGATGTTCTTTAAAAAAAATAGACAATGCAAATCTTGTCAGAGGGAATCCACCACAGCTGACAGAGCTGAAGTTTCTCTACAGGCTTATACTTGCTTAATAATGTACTGAAAAAATGGCTTTGTGTGAGAGGCAATGAAAACTGTGCACGTTTTACATTCACTTCAGACATCAGGTAAATTAAAAATGTTGCTTTAAAACGACAGACATTTGTTGAAAGTTGCAAATATAACCTTGTGGAACAGACTTGGAAGCCATTCTGTAGACTATCACACACAGCAGCACCTGTTGCAGCATATAGTTTACAGTAAAATGCAGTTCTCAATAATTGCCTTGTCATGCTTGACTTCCTGTTCTGTCATATTGCTCTATTTTTGCAAGTCCACCTTTTCCTCACCGTGATTGCAGTTTAATCCTTACATTCTTGTTGCAGACACAAGGGTTAAATGCGGAGAACAATTTCATGAATGCATGTAAAAGTGTTAACGTGACGATAAAAGTAATTCTTCTTCTTCTTCTTTTATATTAGAACAAATGTTTTTCATACTGGTTCATCGCCCATGTCAACAAATAAGGACCATACAGATTATTCTTGTTAGTCTCCTCTCTATTTTCTCTTGGCCTGTACTAGAGATGGACGAATATATCATCTATCAGATAGATATGTATATGTATGTAATAGACATGTGTGCATGTATGTATATGATGATTCATTCATTCAGACCCTCCTGACATATACCCACATGCAGACACACAAACACAGTGTATATACACTCAGACACTATTTATTTTAATGTTTATTTTGTGCAGCACCTTGTTTTGAAAGGTGCTCTATAGGTAGAATTTACTTACATTACTTACTTACATTCAGGACACATTTTAATGTTAGGTGTGAGCAGATGAACCCTGAGGTCACTACACAACACACTTTAACCTATCCTACCCTCTGAAACACTGGATGAACTTTATCAATAGCAGAGGGGTTTTGTTAAATTAAATGTTGGACTAAACCTTTAACTGACTCTTAAACTGCTAAACCTTAAATAATGAGTGACAGGCATAGCTGTTTAGCAGTGCTGCTCTTTACGGCATTTGGTAACATGCACCCACTGAAACCTGTAGCCTTAGTCTTTTTGGTTTGTTATACTGAAGCTGCTTTCAGACGTGCACTGAAGTCCAGACATTTTCCTGAAATTATCCAGAGGCGCTGTGTGTGAGAACACGGATTTCAGTTGTTCCATTTTCTGGAACTTTTCCTTCCAATTGCAAATTTGGCTCAGTCTTGTTTTACTGAAATAAGTTCCTCAATAAAAATGATCTGTAAACTTGGTGTTGAGTTTATCATCCCTGTCATCATTTAAATAACTACAGACCCACACTTTAAGAAGCGTGTACACTAATTGAATACAGCAACTTTAAAGAGAAATTAAAACATGAAATAAATTCAATTATTCAAAAAATGTCAAATGAATGAAAATATGAATTAAGTCAAACAAGATCCTTTTCTGTTACAGGCACCTTAAGATAAATGTGCTGCTGGACCAACTGTGCCAACTCAAAACCTGCCACCTGCACAGTTAGTCTGATGTCAGATATCACTGGTTATCACTGCATTTGACCTTAAATCAGGCTTAAAGCTGCACATTGTGACCCAAACATCAGTTCAGTCCCCTTCTCCTCCTCCCTCGTTGTTGCAGGTTTTTACAGGAGTATCACCTCACCATAAGGAGAGAGGCTGTTTCCAGCTGTCACCGATGTTTTCTACGCATGCCTCCTTGCTCCCTCTGTCCTCCTTTTTCATCTGCTCTCTACTCTCCTCCACTCCTCACTTCTCTCTTCTCTTCCTCTTCCTGTACACCTCTCATTTTCTTCTTCCTCCTTGCAGGGAATACATTTGGGAGACATAGACCTCCTGTCTCGATGATGTTTACTTCTCTCTCCTCTCACACTTCGTCCTCTACCTCGCCCTTCTCTTTATTATTTTAAGGACCACTCTGGGCGAGAGGAAACACATTCACTCTAATGTTTTTGTATTCTTTTCTCTGCTCTTTTAACACCCTCCTCCCTGTATTCCTTAAAGGGTTTTTAAATGAGCAAATTTAAGGACAAAGATGTTTCTGCTTTCTATGACTACCCTGGACTTCTCTTTGTTTGTCTAGGATCTTGAGGGAGCATTTAGGGGAGAAGGAGGTGCAGCTATCCCTAACATTTGACGCTGTGGATGAGGCAGACCTGGCCAACTACACCTGTTATGTGGAGAACCATATAGGGAAGCGCAGTGGGAGTGCTATACTGCAGAAGAAAGGTAGATTACACTCTCTTTGAAATTCCCTTCCTTCCTCCAGCTTTTTTCCGTTCATTTGCAAGAATCAAAGAAGTGCAGCACATGTAGACAAACCCTGCCAATGTATTGTCATCTCATTATTGTTGCTTTTCCTCAGACAATTAAACTGAAAAATGATCACAAACAGCTTGCAGGTAAATTACTCATGAAAGCAACTAGCAGGACATGGTTCAAATTTGTAATTGTATCCGTAAACTGATTGTCTGTACCACTGGACACCGTCATGAGGAAATGTTTATGTATGGGGCCTAGAGTAGGGCCCTGTGGCCCCCCATAGCTGCACTCTGTTGCAAAATTAGATACATTTATTTTTCTTCTTCAAAATAACATATAGAAGCAATAATCAATTACATAGCAAGAGGGAAAACAGTTTTCTTTTAGTAGGGGTTTAATTTATCATTATTAACAATGTGTAGCTTTTTGAGACTTTCAGTAGCTCGTCCTGTAATGGAAACATCACCGAACAAATTCAACATCACAGTTCAGATTTTTTTGCCCAACTCCAAAGTATAGTAGAGGAGTCTGAAACCTTGACTGTATCTTGTCAGACACCAAACAGAAAGCTTCAACATTGACTGGGTGCAGGGGTAATCAACTAGTGTGGCTATGACTGAACTTAAATAATCCCTGCCCACACGTCTAAAACGTACTTATTAGCACATTGTATCCTCTTTCTTTAATGTGAAATAAAAGTGTACTGCACAACTTGTCACCAGGAAAATGTGACATTTCCATGTTATTGAACAAATGTTAGTCATTGAAATTTAGAGGTTTATCTGTCATAAACAAACAGAGAACCTCTGGATTCAAAGCTTTCACAGTATGATTTCCCAAAGGCAGTTCTTTATTTTTCACTCTGGCTCGCTAAACATAAAACCACGTCTGCTCTAGTTACCTGGGACATAGCTCTCTTTATGGTTCTGCTAACAAGGAATACCCTTCCAGCTCAGGAATTTATGCTGCTTTTTATGGCCCAGTAAATATTTGTGGATGTGAACAGCTTCCAAGATAATTAAGACGTTAACTGTGTGCTGTTATGGTGAAATGTGTAAGATGTAGAAGGTCTTCTGCAGCTTATTTTCAACATTTAGGTAGCTGTAGCTGAATGAAATAAAGTAGTGTCATTTACATAATTTCTGTCTCTATCCTAACTTAAAATTCAAGTTGCCACATTTCAGAGTACTGAACTGTGTACCTGGCAGGTGGTGCGATGAAAACACACTACAGCAAAGAGTGCTGAGCACCACAGATGGAGACAATGCATGAGGGCACCGCTCTCTTTGTAAAACATTTATTGCAGTCCTGTGGTATCTTGCTTCCTATCTGATGAGCTGAGAGAACAGGCCGGTTTGAGTCAGAGGCCACGGCCCAAAGAAACACAGGGAAACCAAGAGTGACTGAGAGAAAGAGAATAGCAAAACGGCACTGTGGGAGGACATGAATTGTCTCCGTTACCTCAATTCTCAATGGAAAAGAGAGCGGCATGAATGCTCACCATGAGAAATAAATGCAGAAAAGCAAGGGCAGGGAGAAATGGTGAAAGTGGAAAGAGATAAACAACAGGCAGTGGAATGGTGGGAGATGGAGAACAATGGAGAAATAATAGATGCAGATAGAGGGATAAAGATTGGGAAGGTGAGTGGTGTGAGAGAGAATTGGGGAGACGAAGTGAAAAGAGAGAAGAGGGACTGAAACAGGTCTTTATCTCTCCCTGTCTGACTCCTGCTGAGTGCCTTGGGTGTCAAATCTATCTTACTATACTTAACTAGCACCCTAGGGACTCACACACAGGCACAGGTGCACACACACAGAGACACACACCACCAGAGGGGGTCAGGATGAGAATTGTTGGGTCGTCACTCCTTAGCACTGTAATCACTTGGATGAGTACAGGAAACTGTGTCTACAGGTGTATGGACACTCTGAACCCATAAGCAGCTTGGCTATAATTTACGGCATATTCTGCATATGTGTACGATCCCATCTGACATGAGCAGAGAATCTCATACTGTACACACCCCTCACGGGAGCCATTAAATGAAACGGCAATGTTTGAAAGCATGGCCCTTTATTTGAGAGTGCACATTATCGTCCACACATATAAAGAATATAAGACATAAACCCTCAGTAGAAAAAGATGGTACTTGAAGCAGTTATCAGCACATTTAAATTGTTCTGTAGCTTCACAGTATTTCTCTGTGCCACTGTAAGACCGTTATATGCATCCGATACAGGTTTTCTTCAGATTCTGAATTGCTACATTGATTCCATCAAAATATTAACTGCTCTATATCCCAATGCAAAGAGTAGGACTTAAAGATTTGCTTCCAACAAGTGTCTTTTTAATTTTTATTTGCATGGGACAAAGAAAAATCAAACAATCATCACAAAAGTGACTGTGACTGGGTAGTTCACCGAAAAATGTAAATTCACTTATTATCTACTCACCACTCTGCCGATGGAGGGGTGAGTGAACTGAAAAAAACATGACATACCTCACGGATGTAGCAATGCGAACGTGCACCCCACGTGTGCCCTTTGGCAAGAGTGTGTGCGGTTTTCCGGTGTGTCCATGAGAATGTGAACGCCCCTCCGAGGAGGCTATCAGAGGACATTTATCTACTGAAGCGCCTTTTCTTTGGGGCTAAATTTTCCAAGGTTGCTTCTGGTTCAGAAGACGCTATTTCTCTGCCACACCAAAGGAAAGTTTTACTTGAGTAGGAGTTGTTGTTAGTGGGTGCATACGTAGTCGCCTTGGGGCCATGTCTGATTCGTGGGCATTACTGGTACACAAGGAGCATGGCACTTCTAATTGGTCAGCATGACTTTAACACTAGAACGGCATGAATTTGTAAAACCACTGTCATGACACATTTAAACCTGGTCAGATGCCTTGCTGTGCGCGTTGTTTCAAGTCGTGAATGATCATCTTGGGATACATTATCATTTTTGTTGTGAGAACATTCTCACCACTTTAGATTTCACCTCACTTACAAATTCGTGATGTACGCTATATACCGTATGTTATCTCTCTTTCGCATGGATAGTGATTTGCCGAGCTTGTGACCAGATAACCTGTGAAAATATGGTCCTAGAGTTGTCCTGAAATTACTGCAACTGTTTGAAGCACAAAAAGATAGAGCTAAAGACAATCAGAGGCAATGTCATAGTGTTATGGTGCTTGAAATAAGCAGATAACTTATTGTGTGAAGAGAAAAAGAAACAACAATGTAGTCAGTGTTATCCTCAAAAACCTTTTAGTTTTAACAGTGTTGTCATTTTCTTGCTGGGAGTGGTCAGGTCAATTGCTATATTGCAGCAGTAGATAGCGACTGACCATAGGCTTTATATCAAGAGGGAAAGTGCAACCTCATTTATTCCCACTATACAGAAATAAAGGCAAAATATCCCAGATATGCTAGCAGTGAGGTCATGTCAATACACATGCTAGACCAATCATGAGTCTGTCTCAGCTGTCAATCATGACGTGGGGTCATGGCGGCCTTACAATGAGGTGTGGTCAGGTGCATCTTGAGGCAGTGGAAAGTGATTGACCAAGGGCACATTTTAGAGACAGTAACATTCACCTTCATGGGCAGGTGCACAATGCACATACACTCTAGCAGACGAACAGGGGTTCTACATGCGTGCTAAATGAAGCGTTTGCTTTGCAGAGAAGTGTTTTCTCTTGGTAGTTGGCAATCTGCACGTGTAATGGAAAATCCCCCAAGGTGCAAGCAAACACCTGGTCGTAAGGGAATAGGTGATGGCTCTCTGATTGGTTTACTGCAGGTGATACACATTATTTAAGAGACTAAGTACAACCTTTTTTTTACCATGCATCTACCACAGGGACATTAAACTTATAAAAGTGGATTTGTACACATGCTAAGATCCTTAGCTCTTATTCTTTATATGATATTATAGAAACATATCTAAACTCAAGACAATGGCAAAACAATTTGTGATGCCCACCCATATATTTTTTTACTAACCACTCTAACTAGCCAGACGACTGTTCTGACGCCTCCTGGCCTGAAGCCTTGAAGCTTATAGAGTCATATTAAGGCTCCTGAACACAACACGACAGCTTAAACAAAGCACAAGTTATCAAAGCTTGATTTCATGCGTGTGTGTGATTGAATTAGGGTGTGCTCTCACCCTGCAGCGACCCAAGGTAATAGCACACATGCACACACACACACACACATCCACAGTACATACACCATACACATCCACTTATTGTAACTGACAGAGCAGAAAGAGCTGCCTTCAGCCACCATGATGAGAGTCTTACTAGAAAGAAAAATGGAGGGAAAGAGGCAGACTTAAAGAGTTGACAGGAGACAGAAGGGATTGAGAGACAATGACAAGCAGAAGGACCAGCTTTCACTCTGAGGGCTCTGAAGCCTTCGAGTCACCGCTGGCTGCCAAGATTTTTTCTTTATCTGGAGGGAGAAAATCTAGATTTGGGGATTATAGTGAGGACCGATATGAGCAATGGAGACGCACCCTCCAAATATTTCATTTGAGAGATAATATGTAACTAATGTCACAATACATTCGATAATCACCCCCTAAGAGTTTTGAAAAAGTCAAATCAACTATTTTGTCTCTTACTTCTTGTGGATAACATATTTAACAGACCACCGTAAAACATTATCACAGAAATCATAGAAACAACTAGTCTTTAATCTGTTACTTAAAGGGGAACTCCACGAATTCAGAACATGATATCTTAACCTGTGAAATGTAACATTGTGTGATCGCTTCTGTGCGTCAGGAGAACATTTCCAAAAGTTTGACGAAGAAGCACTGATGATGTCATTAGGTTTGTCATTTCTAGTAAGAGCACACTGGTTGTGTTCATTTAGAACAATTACATTCATTGAACTTGGTTCCTTAAGTTATTGAACTTGATCATTTATGAGCTGAATGAATGACTTAATAAAGTCTAATTC